AAATCCAGTTTATCACTTACTTTTTATTGCCAGAATGTTTGCCATGTATTGTAAAGCTACGTTGCACAATATAAAAATTTCGTGTAACATTTCAAATTTCCACTATGCTTATTAATCGTCATGGATCAATTATAAAAATATTATTCGTCGCCGGACGTGACATAAACCGTCCCATCCCTATTAATAATTCAGGATCATATGGTGCCGATCATCTAAAGACATCAAAAATTTTGGGTAAACTTTAAAATGTATAAGCTCAATGACCATCTAAGATTAAAAAATAAACTCTCCATAGTTTTATTCTATGAGACATAAGGAAAGATGTAATAGAGAGTTTTTTTAAAATGAAAAGAGTTATGATGGTTTAAAGTTTGTCATTTTTACTATTAAAAAAAAATTTCATCACTGATCATTAGTGTTGGCAAATCTGTCCAAATACGTACTCCTTGTCCGATTGTCCAATTTGTGTCCAATTTACTGTATTAGGTAATTTGGACTAATAGTTACTGCGGCATTTGGACAATTGGACAGGACAAATCCAAATAAAATTTAATTGGACACCTAAAAATGCCAACCCTGCGTAAAGTATTGTATAGTGTTGTATAGTGTTCAACTATACGCCTTTTTCCCATCTCTAGGTTGAATTTTAAAGCGATTCAATTTGATTTGAATCAAATCGAACTTTTAACCTTATATTATAAAACTTATATTCACATTAGAGTGGTGTAAGAATTGCGTTGGGCTTGTAATCAATTTTATGCAATTCATATCTAAGAATTATGTCAAATTACAAGCCAGACGCAATTTTTACATGATTTCATATAGAAACTTACAAATGTCTGGTAGCCATAACTAAAAATATGGAAACCATTTGAATCAAATCGAACTTTTAACCTTATATTATAAAACTTATATTCACATTAGAGTGGTGTAAGAATTGCGTTGGGCTTGTAATCAATTTTATGCAATTCATATCTAAGAATTATGTCAAATTACAAGCCAGACGCAATTTTTACATGATTTCATATAGAAACTTACAAATGTCTGGTAGCCATAACTAAAAATATGGAAACCATGCGGGACCAATGCGGAATATTTTTCATCTGGTCAATAAAAAAACCATGACATGAAAATAATGCTTTGTTTTTGGAGCCTGGAGAACAATATCGCTATAGAAATTGGGCAAGGTTCTAATCCAAGTATGTTTTACATAAAGAGTGGCCAAGATTTTCTCTTCACGTTATGCTCCATTTTTATTATCTAGGCCATTTCCATACATGAAAATGCATTTAAATACAGAAACATTTGTCATTACTACCACTCATTTTTCTATATTAATATGTATATCCCGTATGTTTCAGTACATAATTTTTTATAGGATGGGACGTATAGCGTTTTAACGAATTAAAAGAATTTTTATTGG